AGGGAATAGCTATCCGCCTGACCAAGGAAAGCTGAGTAGCTGCTTTCCTCCGGACAAAAGAAGGTGTAAACATTCCAGGAGAGAGTGGACCTCCTCCGGTGTGGCAACAGAATGACTGTTAGTTGAAGGTGAGGTGGAACGGAAAGCCCCAGGCATATTTAATTCTGCGGTTCACAAGGACCGAAGTGAAGGGCTTTAACTGGCGGTGCTTCTGAAGAGTGGTCTGGGAGAGGTCCACGAAGAGCTGGTAGCGATGCCCCTGGAATTTGAGGTCTGAGTTGTTTCTGGCCGCCAACAGGATAGTTTCCTTAGTGCAGTAGTAAGTGAACTTGATGATAATGTCTCTTGGGGGCCCATCCGGTTGTCTGGGGCCCAATGCACGGTGAATGCAGTCAAATTCAAGCCGGTCAATGGGAATGGCGGACGTCAGCTCCTGAAACACTGCAGTAGCGGTGGATGTGAGAACTGTGACCGTTTCTGGGATTCTTTCTTGAGGTCACACAAATCCTGTTCATGACTTTCAATGACCGTGGCCGCAGCGTCCATTTTATTCTCGAGACCTTTCGTCCGATTGCCCAACTACCGAATTTTTTGCGAAAGACGATCAGCCAGCCTGGAGGTAGCGGAGGACAATTCCAACTGCAGCATGGACTTGAAGCCGCGCAGGAGCTCAGCATCCCTCAAACCTGGGGTGGAAGACTGCAGGGATGCCTCTGATGCCAGGTCATCATCACCTCCTGGGATCCGGCCCATTCGCGGGTAGCGGCGGCAGGGGACCCGAAATCGAGACCGGGCTTCAATTGCGGCCTCCGGCAGAAGACGTGATCTCGCGGCTGGGGCCCTGGAACTCTCTGGCGGCGGACCCGAAATCGAGGCAGCGGCTTCATTCGTGGCCTTCGGTGGGTAGGCCACAAAATCCGGAGCGGTCCGCCGGGCGCTAGAGGAACGGGTGGCCACTGATTTTTGGCCCATCGGGGGACAGGGGGCCAGGAGGGGTTGGAGGGAAAACAAAGGACCCCCGCCCCTAAGGGGTAGAGATTGGCAGATGTGGCCGAGGAGCAGACTTACAATGCAGTCATTTTCAAAGCTGCTCACGAGCGCCCCCCGATGCATGCATATTCTTAGTCCCCAAGTGCATCACCTTACATTTATCAACATTAAACCTCATTTGCCCAATTAAACAGTGCATCGAGGTCAGCTTGTATGTTTGAGACATCCTGTAAAGACTTTATTCCACTGCCCAGACCATATATCATTTATAAATATATTAAAAAGTAAGGGTCCCAACACTGAACCTTGGGTTACACCACTGACAACCCTAGACCATTCAGAGTATGAATCATTAACCACTACTCTTTGAATATGATCTTTTAGCCAGTTTTCTATCATTTACATACGATTTTTCCAAGCCCATAGACTTTACATTACACATTAGCCATGTGTGGGGAACTGTGTCAAAATCCAGGCCCACTGCTACCCTCTGTCCAAGGTTTTGCTCACCTCCTCATAAAAAGAAATCAGATTTGTTTGACAACTTCTGTCTTTCGTGAATCCATGCTGTCTGTTGCTTAAAATATTTTTTTTTCAGCGATAATTCATCTATTAAACTCTCCAGTATCTTCCCAACTATAGAAGTTAAACTAACAGGTCTATAATTACTTGGAAAAGATTTTGACCCCTTATTAATTATTGGCACCACATTGGCCTTACGCTAATCCAGTGATACTATGCCAGTCATTAAAGAGTCCCTAAAAATGAGAAACAATGGCTTTGAAATGACAGAGCTCAATTCTTTAAGGACCCGTGGGTGTATGCCATCTGGTCCAGGTGCTTTATTCACCTTGATTCTGTCTAAATATTTTTGGATCATATCAATTGTGAGCCAATGTGGATCATCTGCAGCTGTGTCAATACCATGCCCATTATGGACAAGAGCTCCCCCATGCCCCTTTGTGTACACAGAGCTGAAGAAATTATTTAATAAATTTGCCTTCTCTTTGTCCCCAGCCACCAACTCTAGATTATTTTGTAAAGGGCCCACATGCTTGGACCAGACCTGTTTACTATTAATATATCTGAAGAATTTTTGGAGGTTTGTCCTGCTATCTTTTGCAATCTGTCGTTCGTTTTCAATTTTTCCGGCCTTTATTTCCTTTTTGCATATTCTGTTATATTTTTTGTAATGTTTAAACGATGATAGCATTCCTTCCTTTTTATATTTACAAAAGCTCTTTTCTTATTATCTATAGCTTTTTTTAACTTTGGCAGTAAGCTACATAGGTTTGATTTTTAGCCTTTTAAACTTTTTGACCATGGGAATATATTTGCAGTGTGTTCACATAGTCTTTTTGAAGAACTCCTATTTCTGTGTTGTGTTCATTGATGCCAAAATTTACTCCCAGTCTAAGTCTTTGAGAGCATCTCAGCCTTGGAAAATTAGCTCTCTTAAAATTGAGCGTTTTTAATTTTCCCGTATGTGCTTGTTGTTTACAGCTAACAATAAATGAAATCATGTTATGATCACTGCTACCCAAATATTCTTTTATATGGAAATTCGTAATAAGCTCTGCATGGTTTGAGATTTCCAGGTCCAGCATAGCATCATTCCTAGTTGGGGCCTCTATGAACTGTTCCATAAAATTGTCCTGTAGTAGGTTTAAATAATGTTGCCCTTTAACTGTTCCTGCAGTACCATTACTCCAGTCAATTTCTGGATAATTCAAAACCCCCATTATTATCACTGTCCCAGCCCTTGCAGCCCTATCGGTCTGTGCAAGGAGCTGAGTCTCCACCTCATTAACACTGGGAGGCCTATAACAAACTCCAAGGATTACCTTTTGTAGTACGCACCCCCATGTGAAGTTCCACCCATAATGCTTCAGTCTGATCACACTCTCCATCAAATAGGTCCACTCGCTCTGAGATCACTTCTCACATAGAGACAAACACCACAACCTTTCCTGTTTACCCTGTCTCTCTGAAGAGAACATAGCCAGGAATGTTATTGGCCCCGTCTTGTGAAGAATGAAGCCAATATTCAGCAATACCAATTAAATCATAGTTCTGTTCATGCACCAAAGCTTCCAACTCACCTATTTTGCTTGGCAGACTTCTGGCATTGGTGAACAAACACTTTCACTAATTTAAAACCTTGTGCGCACATATTTATTTATTTTTTTTCATACAAGTTGTACCAATTCTACTGGTTGTTTTTAACATGGGAACCCATTACACCCACCAATAAGTACTGACTCCTGCCTGATCTGTCTACCCCGTTATAATCTAATTCTCCCTCCCCCCTTGATCCTAGTTTAAATACTAATCCAGCCTCCCCATAAACCTCTCCCCCAGCACAGCAGACCCCCTTCCATTTAGGTGCAAACCATCTCTAGCATATAGGTTTCACCCCATTGAAAAGGCAGCCCAGTGCTCTAGAAACCCAAAGTTCCAGAGTTCTGTAATCTCCCCCTGTCTTTCCTGAGTTGCGCATGGCACAGGTAATATTACAGAGAATATCACCTTGGAGGTCCTTCCCTTCAACTTGCAGCCTAGTTCTTTAGATTAAATGCTTAAGGAGTCTCCACCTTCCATGTATTCTGTCATTGGTTCCAACATGGACCAAGAGCTGGGTCATGCCCAGCCCCTCCCAGTAATTTATCAACAGTAATTTATCAACCCGGTCCACCTCATGCCGAATTCTGGCACCAGGAAGACAGCAAACCATTCGGTTGAGGCGATCCTGGTGACAAATTATTCTATCAGTCCCTCTGATTATAGAATCCCCTACTACCACCAGCTGTCTAGGCCTTCCTGCACTACCCTCTCCACCCCTCCCATCTGTTAGGGATAACAATGACATCCAGGGCTGCCACCCCTGAGCTTGCCACCCCCACATCTTCGCCCAACTTGGCAAATCTGTTTGGGTGCACGAACCCAGGGCCGGCCTTGCTTTTCTGTGAGCCCCTACCACTCCCTCTCATTACAGTAACCCATCTTCCTACCTGATAATCCTGATTAGCCCCTCCGCCCTCCACATCAATCCCATTAGTTACCTGCTCAGGATGCAGAAGACCCCTTTCAAGGATGTCGGTTCTGCCCAGTGTTGCAACTTGCTCCTCCAGATCTCTAACGCAAGTTTCCAGAAGGGCAACTCGCTCACATCTGTCACAGCGGTATCCACCCTGGAGCTGTTGCTCCATTGCTGCATACATGCAGCACACTGTGCACTGCACAAACCTTCAACAATGCTAGAACACATTATCCCAGTTACAATATTAATAGGAAATATCAGATGTCACTTACAGATTAGTAGACTCCTGTTATAATCTCTTGATTTCCACTCTGGTTTTTTAACTCCACTTATCAAATGCCCACTTATCAAAGGTCCAGCAAGCAAAATACAGGCAAGTTCAAGAATGAGCAAGCTCAGTGTGAGCTCTACAGCAAGTTATATAGTACCTGTATCAATACAAAAGGGATAACAGGCGCATGGTGTGGCAGTCCATGTATGTTTGATGAGTTCCAAATGGGCAGGGTTGAAGGTAGTCCAGTAGGCACTAAGTGCAAGCTGCGTAGGAGCGAAGCATAACTCTGCAGAAGGAAAACAAAGAAACACAGCACCTCTAAGTGTGCACTGTGAAGGTATATAACCACTAGCCTACAGGGCACTTATACCCCCTTCCTGCCCAGGCCAATTTCCAGCTTTCAGCACTGTTGCATTTTGAATGACAATTGCGTGGTCATGCAACACTGTACCCATATGAAATTTTTATAATTTTTTTGTGACAGAGCTTTATTTTGGTGGTATTTAATCACCTCTGGGTTTTTATTTTTCTTAAACAACCCAAAAACCACTGAAAATTTTGAAAAAAAAAAAAGTTTTTTCTTAGTTTTTGTTATAAAATTTTGTAAATTAGTGATTTTTCTCCTTCACTGATGTGCGCTAAGGAGGCTGCAGTGATGGGCAATGATACGCTGCACTGATGGACACTAATAGGTGGCACTGATGAGGAGGCACTGGTAGGTGGCACTGATGGGCATTGGCAGGCATCACTGATGGACACTGAAAGGCAGCACTCATATATGGCACTGATAGGTGGCACTGACTGGCACTGTTAGGTGGCACTGATAGGCAGCACTGACGGGCACTGATAGGTGGCACTGATACACACTGATACGCAGCACTGACTGGTACTGATAGGTGGCACTGACTGGCACCACTGATAGGTGGCACTGACAGGTATTGATAGGTGGCACTGACTGGCACTGATGGGTGACACTGAAAGGCAGCTCAGATGGGCACTGAAATGTGGCACTGATGGGCACTGGCAGGTGGCATGGGTGAGCACTGAGAGCTGGCACTAATGGACACTGACAGGTGGCGCTGCTGGGGCTACACAGATCATCAGGGCACACTAATCATCAGTGCTCTGATGATCTGTGTACATGTCCCCTCCGAGGAATGCCGATTACTGGCTCTCCTCTCCTCACAAGCTGTCAGCGTGACAGCTAGTGGGGAGAGAAATGCCGATAACTGGCATTTCCCTGTTTACATGTGATCAGCTGTGATTGGACACAGCTGATCACATGTCCGAGCCGACATCTTCGGCTCTTTCCGTGGATCGGTGATCCGCTGTGTCCAAGGAACAAAGCACACCGCCCATCACCACGCTCCGGGAGCCACGCAATGCGCGATTAGAATGGGAGGACGTCATATGATGTCCTCCCAGAACGAGAGAACCACCTTGCGTCCGTCATATTACTATCGGGCGGGAGGCGGTTAATAGAAAGATAAGTAGTAACTCACATCTTAGAATTTAAAAACAGGCTCATGGGTAAGAGGGTGAGGCGTCTGTAGCCAGATGTTGTGTGTCTGATCAATTAAGTCCGTCAGCAGGTGGTGCTGTGCATGTGCAACACCGATGGTAAACCTGGTGGAATCTCCAAGGTGTCTGCCCGCAGATGGTGCTGTGCATATGCAGCATGGATGGTGGGGGGATAGGGTGTCAAGGGCATGTATCAAAAATGTCTCCCTATGGCAGAGTTTATGGAAGCGCTCCGCCTCAGGGAGACCAACGACCATTACCTCGACCACCCAAACCCAAATTCTCACTGTGGATTTGTTATGGGTATCCTAAAAATTGCAGGCGACACTGTGCTCATCCTTTCCACCTTCAGTTAGGCAACAGTGTTCTCCAAACCTGCAACGCAGGGTACGTTTGGTACATCCCACGTACAAGAGACCACAGGGACAACTAAGGCAGTAGACAGCGAATGTGGATGAGCAATTGCAGAATTCAGTGAACTATATATTTCCCCTCCCCTGGCCCTGTCCATCATCCGCCCCTTGCTCTATAAAAGGCTCCTTCACCCCTAGCTCCTCCCTGCCTGATGAAAGATTGCGCCTGGACTCATCTCGTCTTGCACATGCTCAGAAATGCGTCGCATTTTGATGACGTCAGATGCCACATGCGCTGATCCTAGACATCTTGGAGATTCTGCCAGGCTCCACCATCCATGCTGCATATGCACAGCACCATCTGTGGGCAGACACCTTGGAGATTCCACCAAATATGAAAATGAAGAGCCAGGACTGTTGAGCAATTAGAATTCTATATAAGCCAAGAATGGAACAACATTCCTCCCCCAAAACTCCAGCATCTGGTCTCCCCAGTTTACCGTTTACAGACTGTTGATAAAATAAGAGGAGATACTACACCATGATAAACATGGCCCTGTCTCAACTTTTTGCAATTAGAATTGTACCTTGACAGCTTTTTGATGCCCTATCCCAGGGGTGGGCAAACTTTTTGACTTGAGGGCCGCAATGGGTTCATATATTGGACCCGGGGGCCGGACCAAGAGTAGATGAATGATGTGTATTTGTCATCCATAGTAAGTATAGTAATATTCCCCCATAGTAAGCATAGTAATTAATCCCCCATATAGTAATTCATCCCCCATAGTAATTAATCCCCCATAGTAATTCATCCCCCATATAGTAATTCATCCCCCATAGTAATTCATCCCCCATATAGTAATTCATCCCCCATAGTAATTCACCCCCCATATAGTTATTCATCCCCCATATAGTAATTCATCCCCCATAGTAATTCATCCCCCCATAGTAATTCATCCCCCATATAGTAATTCATTCCCCCCATAGTAATTCATCCCCCCTATAGTAATTCATTCCCCATATTGTGTCAATTCACTTACCTTTGCTTCGCGCGTTCCTCTCGCCGTGTTCCCGCGCCGTTCCGGTCTTCAGGGCGGACTGTGAGAGGAGAGCAGTTCGTCACGCTGCCCCGCCTACATCCTGACAGCCAATGTTTGCCACGCTCCGCGGGCCGGATTAAAAGGTCCGCCGGGCCGTAGTTTGCCCATTGCTGCCCTATCCCAACATTTTTGAGACATGTTGCTGCCATGAATTTCAAAATTGAATTTTTTTTTTCCCTAAATGGTACATTTTGTGTTTAACCACCTCCCGCCCGCCATATAAGGCAATGATTGACACAAGGTGGTTCTCTCGTCATATGACGTCCTCCCATTCTAACCGCGCATGCATGGGTCCGGAGCGTGCAGCGCGGCTATCTGTGGTGCGTTGTGTCCCTCGGACACAGCGGATCACCGATCAATGGAAAGAGCCGAAGATGTAGTTTTTGGTCATGTGATCAGCTGTGTCCAATCACAGCTGATCACATGTAAATAGGGAAATGCCGGTTATTGGCATTTCTCTCCTCACGAGCTGTCACGCTGACAGCTGCAGAGGAGAGTCGGTAAACGGCATCCTTCAGAGGGGACATGTGCACTGACGTGCACTGATCATCAGCGCCTATCAGTGCCCGTCAGTATTGCCTATCAGTGCCACCTAACAGTGCCAGTCGGTGCTGTCACGGATCGCACGGTCGCCGCCACCAACATGGGACAATCGCACGACCGCGACTAACAGTAATACGTCACGCCCGCGGCATCAGACCCCAGGCCTTCTCACCAACTCGGGACCAAAGGACCGGCTGATCTAAAACCGCGGTGTGACGCGCTTAACAAGGCCCCACCCAGCTGCACCCTGCACAGCGATTGTCCAGCTAATGGGCTACAATCGGTGCCTGCATCCTGAATGCGCTTGTTACTGGTTCGGGTTAATTACGCAAGTAACCCTCTACTGCCACCACCATTTTTGTCGGAGACTGGAAAACTCCCGTTATCAAATATACACTATAATGATTGAAAAGTCGCCTGTCCAATATGGCCACCGCAGGCTGATTGGGCAGAGGATTAAACAAACACAGTAGCGTCTCTTCAAAGGCAGGAATTCGTGAATTGCAAGTAAGCGCTTAGAAACAGTTTAATACTTTCAGAAAGAAAGATTTATTACTAAAAGAGTCAAACAGGTGCAATAAAATATTTACAAAGAAAGTGTAACTATATATATATATATGCATATAAAGGTACAGCAAAGAGATATTAGGAAAGAGGTTACAGGGCTAAGTTACTTGCCAATTTAAGCCTTGTTTTGTAAGCAGATCCACTGTGCAGAGCAGGAAGGTTCTTTGATCTCCTCCTTGGATGTTAGCTGGGAGATGTGTGTGTTCCATTTGCAGGCTTGCTAGCCTGTCTCTCTTTTAAAAATCCCTCTGAAAGGGGGGTTGCTCTGACTACGCTGTTTTGGGAGGAGTCAGTGGGGAACTCTGAATTAAACTAACAGCTTCATACTCCATGATATGAAACATACAGTTGACCTGAGGAATGTTCAATTACTGCTGGTCAGTTTTATGATGGGTGAGAAAGGTTACACTTTCCCAGACTGCTGGCACCAACTAGGTATTCCTAACCTGTGATTGACCCCCCCCCCCCAATCTGTCAGGAGATAACGTTTGCCTCTCAGGAAGGGATGGGGGTAGGGAATGAAGGCTGAGGAATACTCCACTAAAAGAAAAGAACTCGGGAACTCCGCGTCTAACTCTGATGAGCAAGTTTGCTACAGGTGCTGCCTATCAGTGCCACCTATCAGTGCCATATACAGTAAGGTCCATAAATATTGGGACATCGACACAATTCTAACATTTTGACTCTATACACCACCACAATGGATTTGAAATGAAACGTACAAGATATGCTTTAACTGCAGACTGCCAGCTTTAATTTGAGGGTATTTACATCCAAATCAGGTGAACGGTGTAGGAATTACAACAGTTTGCATATGTGCCTCCCACTTGTTAAGGGACCAAAAGTAATGGGACAGAATAATAATCATAAATCAAACTTTCACTTTTTAATACTTGGTTGCAAATCCTTTGCAGTCAATTACAACCTGAAGTCTGGAACGCATAGACATCACCAGACGCTGGGTTTCATCACTGGTGATGCTCTGCCAGGCCTCTACTGCAACTGTATTTAGTTCCTGCTTGTTCTTGGGGCATTTTCCCTTCAGTTTTGTCTTCAGCAAGTGAAATGCATGCTCAATCGGATTCAGGTCAGGTGATTGACTTGGCCATTGCATAACATTCCACTTCTTTCCCTTAAAAAACTCTTTGGTTGCTTTTGTAGTATGCTTTGGGTCATTGTCCATCTGCACTGTGAAGCGGCGTCCAATGAGTTCTGAAGCATTTGACTGAATATGAGCAGATAATATTGCCCGAAACACTTCAGAATTCATCCTGCTGCTTTTGTCAGCAGTCACATCATCAATAAATACAAGAGAACCAGTTCCATTGGCAGCCATACATGCCCACGCCATGAAACTACCACCCCCATGCTTCACTGATGAGGTGGTATTCTTAGGATCATGAGCAGTTCCTTTCCTTCTCCATACTCTTCTCTTCCCATCACTCTGATACAAGTTGATCTTGGTCTCATCTGTCCATAGGATGTTGTTCCAGAACTGTGAAGGCTTTTTTAGATGTCGTTTGGCAAACTCTAATCTAGCCTTCCTGTTTTGAGGCTCACCAATGGTTTACATCTTGTGGTGAACCCTCTGTATTCACTCTGGTGAAGTCTTCTCTTGATTGTTGACTTTGACACACATACACCTACCTCCTGGAATGTTCTTGATCTGGCCAACTGTTGTGAAGGGTGTTTTCTTCACCAGGGAAAGAATTCTTCGGTCATCCACCACAGTTGTTTTCCATGGTCTTCCGAGTCTTTTGGTGTTGCTGAGCTCACCGGTGCATTCCTTCTTTTTAAGAATGTTCGAAACAGTTGTTTTGGCCACGCCTAATGTTTTTGCTATCTCTCTGCTGGGTTTGTTTTGTTTTTTCAGACTAATGATGGCTTGCTTCACTGATAGTGACAGCTCTATGGATCTCATCTTGAGAGTTGACAGCAACAGATTCCAAATGCAAATAGCACACTTGAAATGAACTCTGGACCTTTTATCTGCTCATTGTAATTGGGATAATGAGGGAATAACACACACCTGGCCATGGAACAGCTGAGAACCCAATTGTCCCATTACTTTTGATCCCTTAACAAGTGGGAGGCACATATGCAAACTGTTATTTCTACACCGTTCACCTGATTTGGATGTAAATACCCTCAAATTAAAGCTGACAGTCCGCAGTTAAAGCACATCTTATTTGTTTCATTTCAAATCCATTGTGGTGGTGTATAGAACCAAAAATGTTAGAATTGTGTCGATGTCCCAGTATTTATATACCTGACTGTATGAGTGCTACCTTTCAGTGCCCATCATTGATGCCTGTCAATGCCCA